CGACTCCTTATAGTAACTCTGCTATATGATACATGCTGATGGAAGGCCACAGGAACATGAGATATACAACTGCAGTCTTCAGTGGGTTGACAATTATCATATTTTCCATGATAAATAAATACATTAGTCTGAAACACTTTGCACTAGATTCCTTGGGGCTGATTCAACATCACATTACTCCAGTTTTTGCTGGTGTAATTCTACCACAACCAATTGTGAATCAGGTCCTTTCTTTGTTTCAGTCCAGATGTCTGCTACACCTCTTCCTGTGTGAGCAATAAAATGGAAGAGAAAGGCCTCACTTTACACGTGCCTCTCCTACAGGACACTCCTAGCATGTGCACTGCAATGAGAAACCTAATCTAATTGTCTGACACAGAAAGAGAAGATGAGTTCATTTCCTTTTTTAATAAAAAGGAGGCAGGATGCTGAATCATAGGGCAAGAACTGAGTTACAAGAATGAGCCACGGCAAACCTACTTCTTTACTAAGCCAGGCAGGCAGGCAACCTCCTTACTAAACTCTCCCAAGTCCTGAGGGACATGCACCAGACTGCAGGCTCTGAATGCTGGTGAATGGTCTTATTGGGTTATATTAGGGGACAGATGGGTGGTAGTGCTTAGGGAGGTGGCTGCTAGATTCAGGTGGGCAGTGGTGCTGGGATTTGGGAATTAAAAAGTCTTTCTAAACAATGGCCCAGGACCAGTTCTTAGTAAAGCTGATTGATCCTGAAAGCATCTGTATTAGTCCCATCAAAATGTTTTACTACCCTGCCATATCCGAAAACATCAAACCTTGAGGCCTGAGTGCCACCTAGTTAATGTCAATTACTTAAAACTTTAAATACCGTAAAAGCCTCATGGCTTTTCTAGACAAACATCTCATGTGCGCCGCAAGCTGAGGTATAAATTACTTTGTACGAGACTGCAGTAAACTAAATGTCCACATGGCCCTGCTGCGACACATCGTAAGTTCTCTAGTGCACTTTGATTTACTCCTATTTCAAAGCGGGTTATGTCAAATTGCACCACTAGCAACACACATCTACAAAAGTGGTGCACAAAATGTAATTTACTGAAAGCGTAGAGAAAGGAGGCTGCAATGCACATCTTGTGTACCTTTAATACATTCAACTTTATCTGGCACCAGATATACGGTTATGTAACATGCTGCCTAATTCTCTGGAATCTTTTTCTTCTTCAGAGTGAGGTACAATCATGAGGTAAACAGCAGACTAGATTATTAGCACCAAACTGTAATACTAGTCAGTGCAGTATGACAAACTATGAATTTAGGAGGAAAGTGCTGGTCAGACCTAATTTAGTTAGTTCATTGTACTTCCACAAGCTTTAGTCATAGACACACTACCTTAGTTCTCCCAGTCTAGCAGTGAATGTACAGTAATTGCCAGTGAGAGAGTCAGTCTCCATGAAATATGTTTCCAGTCTACCAAATACAGCTGGGTTCTACTTTAGGACTACAAGTTCTCGGGCGGGGGGGTGGGGGGGGGGCTAATTTCCAAATGAATGTACGCAGCAAGCAGATGGTAACCAGCCCTGTAAAGTTCTACTGGGCTGTGAAATGCAAGGACTGTCTGTTAAGTGAACTCTTAGACTTCTGATCTGTAGACCAGATTAAAACAGACAAATATTCCTGAGCCATAGACAAAATCGTAGGTCTTTGGCCTTTGCTGATTTTCACCGAGGATTTCTCCCATTTGTTACTGCAGATATCATGCCTAACTTGTTTATGAACTGATTGAAGCACCTTGCACATACTGTGGCATTTTTAATCTCTAGGTCATGCCCCCAAACACTTGAAAAGAATTTCCTTTCTCCAGATACAAGTTTTTTTCTAGGTTGGAAAAGAAAACAAAACAAAATACCGCTCTTGGGAAAAGAAGATGGTGAACAGCTCCACAGCTACAGAATTAAAACTAATTCCACCAGGCGGGGCACCCATGGCACAGTACATGATTGCTGGCAATTTACCTCTGTAGACTCACAGGATTACTGGCGAAATCATGAGTCAACAGAAATAAAGTAAGATACAGAGAATGGGTAGCATTCAAGAATGGACATTATCTTTTGCCATAATGTTTGCATATTTCCATAAAACTATCTGGTTGATGCTGATCTGGTTGATGCAAGATATGCCAATGAATGTCTAGTAATGGGCTATAAAAACTTACTAGTTTTGTCAAGGAACTAGCAAAGAGATAAAGCTTCCTGTAGCTAAACACAGCGGCCAGATCCTCAGCTGGTGCAAATCAATGTAGCTTTGTTGACTTCAGTGAAGCTACACTTATGTACTTCAGCTGAGGATCTGGATCAGTAGGTCTTCTCTGCCTTTTAGTTTTCTCATGAGGTCGTTGGTAGCTTTCAAAGATGTCTGGATCATCTAAAGAAAGCTCGATCTGTTTTTTCAGCAGCGCTTTTGAATGGTTAGATCAATAGTGCTCAAAGTGACATGAATAGCAACTTGGCGCTTTATTTCCCCTTGAATAATAATTTTGCCAGCCCTTGAGAAACTATGGAATGGTAGTCTGTACATTACTTAACAATATATTTTTCAGCAGGATTTCCTATCACCAGGATCTGTACTTTTTCAGCTCTGCAGTTGCAGAAAACTGAGGTACCAATGAAAAAATCAATTTTCTACAATCTGATGGACAGAATTATGATTGGACATGAAGAGAGTATTTAAAGTAGCAGGTAACAACACATGTAGCAGGCTACATAGAGACAGCCTGAATGGAGAAAAGATACTGAAATACTGACTGATGGGAAATGAGAAGGGGAAAACCCACCCCAGAAGTCTGACAATATGCCATGGTTGATAACAATGCACCATCTCTGACTGAGGAAGGCAAAAGGAGGAGAGGAAGAAAGTTCATATTGTTCTTCAGATATTAGGATGCTAACACCAAGAGGACCAAGTAATGTTATAATGGAAGTGATTTTCTGGAAGACCAGCTCCAGGGAAGGCTACTTTAAAAAAAAAAAATCAGTGAACACCAAACTACACAGCTTGACCATCCACTCTGACTCTTGTTCAAAGTTTAAGGTGGACCTCAAGAATGTCTAAGAGTTGCAATGGCGCTCTCTCTCTCTTTCACAAATATTACTAGTACAGGAGGTTTGCTCTGGCTCGTTCTTTTAACTCAGTTCTTGCCCTGTGATCCGGCCCTTCTGCTCTATTAAATAAACTAAGGAAGAAGTACTGAGTCAATTTAAAGCCATATCAAGAAAGTGATGGTAAAGGTAAGAACACATGGAAGAAGTGGAAACCAAGCAAACTGGAGACGAATTATATCTTTGTCCGGAAATTACAAGAGGTTTCTTTCCAGATTAATGGCCTGATGGAGCTCCCACTAAATAAAGTAAGGATTGGATCAGGATCTTAGAGGGGGTTTCGGAAAGGTATTGAGTGCCCACAGTTCTCAATGAAGTCAATAGGAGTTGTAAATGCTCAGTTCCTCTCAGGACCAAGCCCTAAATACTTAAAATTTTGCTGACGTGACAGCAATCAAGTGAACTACGGCCTGGTCTACACCTAAAACTTAAGTTGACCTAGCTACATTGCTCAGACCTGTGAAAAATGTCATGCCCTGTGCAATGTAGTTAGGTTGACCTAACCCTCACTGTCGATGCAGCTAGGTTAACAGAAGAATTCTTCTGTCAGCTAGCTACTGTTTTTTGAGAGGGTGGATTTTCTACAGCAACGGAAAAACACTTTGTGGCGCTATTGTAACTGTCTACCCGAGAGCTGCCCCACTGTAGCAACTGTACTATAGACATACACTAAATAAAAAAACAGGTCATGTTATTTTACCAGTACGTTGTCTAATCCTGCTCAGACCTGGTCTCAATGACACAGTGGTAAAAACACTGTTGGATGCAAGAGTGTTTTCTCTGAGCTCAAAAATCCCTAGAGAAGACAAGGCCTTATGGTCTTTTACAGAGGTTGCCTTGAGCCAGAGAGAGTTTGGATTTGCATCTAGAGCCAAATTTCTCCAAAGCTGAGAAATGTTTGAATCCAGAGTTTTGATCAGGACCTCTCTAGTGATGCAAGGATATTATGATGAAGCTGAACTGAGACACAGGGCTGGACTACCTCACTGTGCTAACTCTCTGTACTGTTACCATAATGTGCAATGCAGCACTCTTTTCTTTGGATAGGTTCAACGCACTAGGCCTGCCTCCTTTCCTAGGGATAGAGGCCTCTGCAGGTCAATATGAAGGGAGTGTATGTGGCTGGGAGGAGGAGGAGGAGAAGGTACTATAATTCACCTGTCTTATGAATTAGTTTAAGGTGATCTGCAAAGGGTAGGAGTGAAAGGAAAAAGGTCTTTGCCCTTTTTTGCTTCTTTAGGATATATAAAGAAGTTTTGAAAGGGTACCTCCCCCCCCCACTCCAAAAAAAAGAGAGGGTGGATGATTCTGCCTTTTAATTTTTTTAATTTAATTAAAAAAAAAAACTTAGAAATTCAAGTCTTGACTCCTTGGAAGATTCTATGACTACTGGAAAATGAATAAAATTAGGACATCTCAAGAGAGTGAAAGATGAGCAAATGCGGAAGGAAGAGATTTTTTAGGCGGGTTGTTTAATATTTTTTCTTTAGTGACCAATTCATTCCCATGTCTAATTGAAATTAGGGGAAAAGGATGTCTTAGTTTCAACATTTCACCTTTTCAAATAAGGTATGGCAGCTCACAACACCCATCTTCCACGCCTCCCAAAAACTGCTTCTCAATGCTAGGAAATATCAGGCTTGACAATCCAAATATTTCAAAAGTAATTAAAAAAATTGAAAAACCTTTAACCTCTCCCCCACCCTAACCACCACCTTTCAAGATGGCCAGCTTCACACATAAGGAAGGAAGGAAAAAAGGGCCTAAAACACAATATTTAAAATTCCTTTACAGGTCACTTTTACATTTCAGGAACATCATCCCCCCTTCCTTTCCCTCATCATAACAAAACCAAAATATATTTACCTTCCCGAGTGTGTTCCTATTGCTACCACTGTTCCACTTGGATGGAAATCAGCACAGTGCCCTGGTTCCTGCAAGAGACAGGTGTAGATATATGACTTAATATCAAATGTATTAATATTCACAACCTCCCTTATATTTAAGCAATGTTAAAAGACAGGACAAGAAAAGTCTCAGTTAAACACATCATTCACAGCTTTGATCATTCAAGTATTATATAAACTCCCACCTTCCCAGTTTCTGTAAGTGTGTACGCTTTGGGGGGAGATGTTTCCACACACACGTCCCCAAGTTAAATTTTCACAGCACTTGACAGTTCACTATTAAAATTAGCCAAGGTGCTAGGTACTACTGAGCTACTTGAACCAATATTTATATTTTGCAGAGGCAGGAACACCTTCCAGCTAACCATTTTAATGCTACAGTTTCCCACATTTTGCCTGTTTGTGCAGGACAAGCTACATATGGTTAATTTCAAATGCTTCTGAAAGACATTTTAAGTACTTTCCCTCTGTTATTTTTAAATTCAATGCCATTAGAAGAAAGCTCACGTACATCTAGCAGCCTGGTCCATTCTAGTGTGTGATCCACAGAGTTCCACATACAAACTTGCCTATCTTGAGCACATGTTAACAACAAATCTTTGAAGGGATGTGTTGCCAGACCCCAGAGCTCATCTGTGTGACCCTGAAAAGGAAACACATTATTTACTTACTATAGTTCCAAGACATAAACCAGTAAACCCCCCACCCTCCGCAAAAAAAGTCTCTTGATTTAGGTCCTGAGAGAAAATACATACCAGAGGAGAAGTTTGAATTTGCAGTAAAAAAAAAATATTGTGCTCACCTGTACCTCTACTTGGAAACCATCATTGAACGTTCCCCGCAAAATAAAGTTTCGTGAAGTGCCAACTAAAAACTGATCTGCTTTTCCTTCTGCTACTGCTCTGATTGTCCCGTACTGATCAGGAACCTAGGGAAACAAATTTCTGTAAAGGCAAATCTTAACACGTACCAATTTTCATCTTTGAAGGACACAATTACTATAGTGTATCATGAAACAATAATCAACAGGAGATGCAGTTTCTAATTAAAAAGGAATAATCCAACCTATCTGACATCAGGATATTGACCACATTCAGCAGCTGAGTTCACACAGTCTAATCAGATCACTCCCAAACTTAACTGCAGTTCCACTTCATACACTTATGCATTTTCTCACTAGAAATAATGAAAAGGATCTGCCAGCACACAAGTTTGGGAACACAGAGACCACAACATTTAATGAAACTATTAATATCTGCTTTAAGGAACAGCACCAAAGAAGCCAGAATGAGGAGGTGGTTCACTCCACCCTTTCAAAACCTGGAAGTGTGGGAATGTTAGTGGAGGGGACATTAGAGAGATGAGGTGGGTGAGGTAATATCTTTTATTGGACCAACTTCTCTTTGGTGAGAGAGACAAGCTTTCGCGCCACACAGAGCTCTTCATCTGATCTGGGAAATGTACTCAGAGCTCACAGCAAAATACAAGGTGGAATAGATTGTTTAGCACAACACATATTTCAAATTTCAGAGTAACAGCCATGTTAGTCTGTATCCGCAAAAAGAAAAGGAGTACTTGTGGTACCTTAGAGACTAACCAATTTATTTGAGCATAAGCTTTCGTGAGCTACAGCTCACTTCATCGGATGCATTCAGTGGAAAATACAGTGGGGAGATTTATATACAAAGAGAACATGAAACAATGGGTGTTACCATACTGTTCCTCAGACGTTCTTGTCAACTGCTGGAAATGGCCTACCTTGATTATCACTACAAAAGGCTTTTTTCCCCCTTGCTCTCCTGCTGGTAATAGCTCACCTTAAGTGATCACTCTCTTGCTACAGTGTGTATGGTAACACCCATTGTTTCATGTTCTCTATGTATATACATCTCCCCACTGTATTTTCCACTGAATGCATCCGATGAAGTGAGCTGTAGCTCATGAAAGCTTATGCTGAAATAAATTGGTTAGTCTCTAAGGTGCCACAAGTACTCCTTTTCTTTTTACATATTTCAAGGGTGCATTCAAGGTCAAGTGGCCATTAACATCTCTCCAATCTGGGGGGAAAAAGACAAAAAAAGTTGGAGGGGGAGAGGGTTTAAGTTGGTTATAGATTGGTGTTAACAAGCCATAGTTCCAGTATCTCTATTTAGTCCATGATTTTTAGTTTCTGGCAATATTATGAATTTAAGGTCCCAGGGTCATCTTTTGAAAGTGCTGTGCAGGTTTTCTTTGAGGATGAGGACCGAGAGGTCAGATATAGAGTGATCACCCACAGGTGATGTGGTGCTTTTGTCTTCCATCATTTTTCTGTGTGAATTCATTCAAGGGAGCATAGCGATTGTCTGATTTCACCCATATAGTTGCTACTGGGGCAATCAGTGCACTGGATGAGGTACACCGCACATGAGAGGTATGTGTAGACCATAGATCTTGAAACTTGTGTCACGGGAGGAGGTGTTTGATCATGATAACAGTGGAGATAATGTCTACGGGTTTTGCATCTATTGTTCAGACAGTGTCAGATGCTGCTTTGACTTGGTGTGTGGGGAGCTTACTTCTGACGATGTGCGGAGAGAGGAGGGGGTGGGGGGGTGTTTGAAGGCCAGAAAGGGTTCAGGAAAGATTTTTCAGGATGTGGTCCCCATTGAATATGGATTGTAACTGATTGATGATACCCCGTATGAGGGTCCAGCAGTCACACCTAATGGTATATTTATACAGTATGTGAGAGGTGTAATTCCCAGCTCAGGTAGACATACATGAGCTAGCTCTGCTCAAACAAATGCCTACAAATAGCAGTTTGGCTGAGCTACCCAGGTACATACCAAGGGGGTCAGGCAGGTTTGTACTCAGGCAGCTAGCCCACACTGCTATTTTTAGGCAGTCTGAGCAGACCTAGTACGTGTACCTTTACCCACATTGGGTATAACACCTGCCAGCTGCTGCGTAGACATACTCTGCGTCTTCACTTGCCGATGGAGCACTGTAAGACAATTGTCTTCCACCAGCTTTCGAAAAGACATATGTCTCAACTGGTGCTCACTACCTGTATGTACTCTACTTAATCTGAAATTTACCCATGAGGCTGCTGTAGGAGCTGTATTTTGCTGGAAGAGACGATATCCCCCTTTCCTCCTGCCTTCCACATCCACCCTGACTGATGTCAAGAATCACTCTAAACCCAGTCTATTTATTCACTCAGGTCAGGCACATGCACAAGGACTTGACCCCAAATAAACGATATATACGTCATTCTGTAAAGATGAGTTTCCCCACTTTCTCACCCAAGAATATATATATACAATCCCCGAAAACACGTAGGTGGGTGCTTAACTTTATGCATGTCGATAGTCCCATTGATCTCACTGGTGTGTGTACAATTAAGTAAAGTTCAGTAACAGTTTGCAGGATCAGTGCCATAATGTGCATTTTGCTTTGATAAATAAAGGCAGTTAACTCAACATGTGGAAAAAGTTAAATGTGAACTGGTACAGCTCAGTAATTTATGCTTTTGCAAATCTTCTGAGCAAATAGGTCTTTATAGTTTAGTTCAGCCCTGACACAGACATGTAAGGCTGATTAATTCTTATTTCACACTTTTTAAATTATTGTGTGACTATCTATTCATGTACACACATCCCTCTTTAAAAAAAGGTCATCCTTTGGACATTTGTAATACATCTGGCACCTTATGGTCAGATACAGAGACACACAATGCCCACATATACCCAAGAAAGTCAATGGGAGTTGAGAGTGCTCAGCATCTTTGAAAAAAATCAGGGTATTAGTATATAAGTGTCATAACGTTATAAATAAGTTAGGGTTTAATTTAAAAAAAATAACTGTTAAGATCCATTAGAATCTAGCATACTCAAACAAGCTATTTCCAGGATAGGGAGAAAACATATATTCATTTATTTGTCTAAAAATACATGGTGATAAGAAAGAGGAGTGGTAAAATTTTCAAAACGGCTTTAATGACTTAGGAGCCAGTGACTTAGGAGCCAATGACTTAGGCTCGTAGGTGACGTAGATGCTTTAGAAAATGTTACTGTAGCTCCTGAAGACTTCATGTAGGTAGAGATTTTACCAGTGGTGGGCAACCTGAGGCCCGCATGTCCCTGTGGCCGCTTTGCCTGTAGGCGCCACTCTCCACAGCTCCCATTGGCCGGGAACAGAGAATTGCAGCCACTGGGAACTCAGGGGGTGGGGGTGGACGTGGACGGTAGTGCCTGCGGACGGTCAATGTCAGCAAAATGTCTCGCGGCCTGCAATCAGATTACCCTGATGGGATGCATTTGGCCAGCGGGCCGCAGGTTGCCCACCACTGGATTATACACACAGAATATGATGTTTACATTTTTAAACACTACACACTGAAAATCTGAAAGAAAAATTGTGTCGTTTCTACCAAATGCATCCTTATTTTATTAACTTTTCATGGATGTTCATGAACTCTCAGCAACTACTTTGGCCTATAATAATTTTTATTTACTGTATGTTTAAACTGTATTACACAATGTTGTTCTGTTTTACGATATGTTGTCCTATTCTGAGTGCTCCTTTTCTGTTTAATTATTTAATTTAATTACTGGCAAGATTTTTCATCCCAAAATAATTACTATGTATAGAGTATATGGCACATTAGAAAAGGGAATGTGGAGATGATCATCAATGTTGCTCAAATTACTGTTTACCAACTGTAACAGAAATTTCTCTCTCAGTTGGTGTTTACTTATTAGATACACTTATTAATTAGCTTCAAGGCAGTTCTTTAAAAAAAGATTGTGGGGATTCATTTGCTTAACTGCTACATTTAGTTTCCCAAAATGCTGTGAATTCATCATTGTGATAAGTTGATACTGGTTAAATAGAAAACACAATTCAAAGTATCATTATAAAGAATATGTAAAAGGGATAAACTATTCCTTGTACCTTTGTCACTATAGCGTACCAGTGACAGGCTGTTACAGCTGCTCTAAAATACTACAAAGTGTCATTTTTATTTGAGAGAAGTAATCACAATTTGCTTGGATTTGCTATGTACCAAAATTGTGTACAGATACCATACTTTGAAATGGTAGTAAATAGTTTTGATCAAGCAGATCAAGCAGTAACGATAATGTTAAAACAACCTCCTCACACCAATCATTATTTCTTAGGTACAGAATATTCTTGTGTATTCTGTAAGCAATCTATCAAATGTAAAGGGCGTTCGCTATCTTACAGCGTACAGGAAAATGTGATGAGATTACATCTTGGTTACTTTGCTTTTGACCAGAACCATATTTTTCTCTCCAAAGAGGTAATTTTGTTGTGAGGATACTGGAAGATGGGTGGTGCTAAATAACATTTTTGTTGTTAAAGGGATGAGTAAAATCTAGCCAAGAAGGGCTCACAGAAGAAGAAAGTGGAAATTTCTCATCATCCTTTCCTGATTAGTATCTGAACCTCATTTATAGGTAATACAAAGCTACATTGAGGCTTAATAATTTTTTATTTATACAATTTTCTTTAAATGAACTACTGGATTTGTAAATGGAAAACAGCAAAAAATAATGCAAAAAGGTTATGAAATACTGATTTTTTCCTTATGTACAGTATCTTCACTTAAGTATGGGGGAGTGAGGACGGGTGAGGGGTTGTGCTTCCTCTCTTACCTCTATTTCCCTTTCAGGGTTCAGATCATGATCCCACAGAATGATTTTTCTGTCTTTCCCACCTCCAGTTAGCAGCATTCCATTCCTCATTTGACACAGTGTGAACACGCTGCCATCGTGAGCTTTGATTTGTCTACTTATTTGATATACACCTACAATCACGAAAAAATATAATGAATGCCACTCATTTTTATCATCAGTTTGGATTTCACAAAACTTTGCATTTTGGAACAAGAACTACGTGGCACTGTACAATAAGAAATTGTATTGGATGTTTGAGGCTGTTCCAATGAGTATTACAAACAAAAGGTGGTAGTGTTTTCTTACAGAAAACTAGAAGATAAAACAAAGAACTGCTCACCTGTATGATTATTTTGTGAGATTGCTACTAAAATTTCTTTGAATTCGCTGCTATCTGAGGGAAAGCATTTCTCAAAAGGGGCAAGAGAAACTTCTAACAATTACTTTTGTGGAACTAGGGAGGGAAAGCATTTATCGTGTTATCAGCTGATGTAAATAATTAAGTTCTTTTGGCAAATGTGACCCTTCAAGAATCCTTGTCTGTAGTCTTATGAGGACCAAAATAAGTGAATCAATTATGGTAAAGTCTCTGGAGCACGACACTCCCACTGGCTCACCTAAAACTCTCTATGTATCAATTATGATCTATTTTGAAATTAAATCATAGGTGCTCCAAGCGAAGGATCTACCTCCTAAGATCCTGGTGAATGTAGGATGAATAGGACTGGATAGGTAAAAAGGCACAGTGAAAGCAGAAAAGAGGAGAATTCTCAATTTCCAACTGTGTCTGCATTGCCTTCTTCAAACAGAAGAGACTAAGAATTCACCAAAAAATAGTAGTATGATTATTTTATACATTAACTTTAGCAGCTATAGTTCATAACTTTTGAATGTGCAATGTTGTCTAATTTACTAAATTAGGGAGACAACAGTAATACGTAATAATAATAATGGTTAAAATGTTCAGAATTGGTGCTGAGATTTTCAAAAAAGGGCTGCTTAAAGTAAGGCTTCAAAGTCCACATTTAGGCCCCAGTTCAGTAAGTTATTGAAGCATGTGCCTAACTTTAATACATGAGTAGTTCCACTTAAAGTTAGGAACCTGCATAACCAAATAATGAAACATGCATAAGCCTACCAATGACCATTGAGCTAGCCAACGTGGCCACGGTTGACGGTGCTACACTAGACACTGTGTAGCGAAGTTCACAGGCCAGGCTCAATCCTATGAATCCACAAATCTCTGGAACAGCACTGTGGCTGGTGCCAGGTAGGGTCAGGGCATGCACCCCTTTGTACATTGATATAGAGTTTGAGAACCCAGTGTGGTGGGATGTTTTTGTCAGACATGGCCAAAGAGCATGCAATGCCACTTTCAAATATAACGAGTGACTGAAAGAAGGCCAAACCACTGAGATTATGACATTTCGCATAGTCATACCACTTTATGCACAGGATTTGGTGCTGACAGTGCACATTAAATGTCTCTGCGGCTCCAAGTCTGCCTGTAAGAGGGTCCAGGTTTCTGACCCATATGGCAATACAGGTAGCACACAGGTTTGATAGATCCCAAACTCTGTCTCACCGCAAAGATGGTTTTGCATCCATAAGTGAGGCATGGACTTCATGCAGGAGGTGGCGAGACCTATTCTTGAAGAACATCTGGTTTGCTGCATCTGTTTGAATTCTGCTTGATGCCTAAGTAAATGAACTCATCAATGCTCTCCACAGTATTTGATCCCACTTGCACTGTGGGTTCTGGTGGCCCAGCTCCAAGGTTCTGGATCTTGGTCTTCTGCCACGAGACATTCAATCCTGTAGTGTGTGTGTGGCCTCTTAGTGGGTGAAGCTGAAATTTTCTGACTTCTCCAAAAGCAGGGCAGCATCATCAGTATAGTTTGGGTTGGTGAACACTTCTTGACTAACCTTGTTTCTGACATGTTGAACAGCAAATCCAAATATCCAATTGACAGCTCAACAGAACAGAACTGGGGAAAGAATGCATTCCTGCTGCACAACTGAGGTTGTGCAGAAACATGGCAAAAGCTGTGGACCTATGTACACTTTTACTGGTACTGGTATGAGGATCGTGCACCAGATTCAGCAGAATATCTGGAACACCAAATCCTTTCTGTGCGAACCAAAGTGCTGACCTAAAGACTGAATCAAGAGCCACTCTGATGTTGATATATGCCATGTGAAGTGGGCATAAGTACCCTGCTAAAGCTGGGACTGATTTTCAAAGGTATTGAGCACGCACGGGATTTATTGGCGCTTGGCATCTTGGAAAATTAGGCCATTGCTATTTATGTGTCTAAATATATAGATTAGGAGCAACATCAAGCACCTAAGTTTGGAAACTTTGGCCAACGTTTAGTAGCATTCCATAATGCTTATATATATACAGTGGGAGGTAAGGAATTACTTTGCAAAAGGGGGAAAATGAGGCATAAAGGTTAACATTTTCAAACTTTGATTCCTAAAATCAAACAGCTAAATGAAGTTGAACTGATTTTCAGAGATGCTGGTCACCCACAGTTCCCACTTTATTTAGACCACTTCTTAAAAATATTCCTGGATATAGTTTTAACTTTAGGCACACAAGTTTGAAGATGTTGACCTGAGTGACTTAAGGTCACTCAGCAGCACAGCTAGGATAAGACCCAGAACTCCCAATCTCTAGTCCCATCCTCTAATCACTAGATGCTAACCTCCAGAAGACTGTTATTCACTTCTGAAGAATTAGGTTTCTCTTAAATGCCTGTTAGAGGATGTTGCCTTATGCACAGATGTATAAGATACTCTTACGTGAGCACTTCTTAAAATAAACCCTTAGCCTGAAGGATAGGCAAGGCACATGAGCCACAAAGGGCATATCTGCCAATTTCAAATTGTGCCATAGGGTCAGTGCAAAATGGGTACGTTTTCTAGATGTCTACCAGAGGGGACTGTGTCAGATATATATTAGTATTTGAAACTTTGTAGACCCAGTTGATGTTTCCTGATTAATTTGATCCTATGATGCAGTCGAAAATGCTATGAGTCCTTTCAATTACTGATGTGAACACTTTTCTCACAAAAATGTTTTCAAAACACAAAAAAACAAGAAAAAATGGTCTTGGATATAGTTAGCAGTTATTGTGCTATTATATTTACTCAAAGACTATATTTTGAGCACATATGCGCAAATAAATGGGAATTGCTACCTGCGATATGAAGCAATATAAAAAGGCTAGTTTCTAGAGCTTCAAATATTTTCTTAAAAATTAAGAAAAGCAGAGGATATCACTTTACTTAACTGTCTGTAGGGCACAATTTACCAGGTTTTTAAAATCTGGTTTCACACCCTACCAAAAAAAAAAAAAAAAGGTGGTCTAGGTAAAAGCTCATCACCAATCCAACATGGTAAACTAACTAAAAAAAAAGCAATTAAGCACATGTATGAAATACTCCAGCCATCATGGGCAAAAACTTTTTTAAGATGATCATGGCAAAAGCTATTTGCCCAGATGTTATAAAATTAACTAAACATTTAATATTTTCTTAATTATTTTTCCATTTCAATTAGTGGTTTCAAAAAACAAACAAACAGATTTTCCTATAAAAATAGATTTGCACTTAAAGATTTACATGACTATTTTCCTGGGATACCAGTTTAAGTCAGAGTGTTTGAAATAGCTGCCAAGTAAAATAATTATCCTTGAATTTAAAAGCTACCTGAGGGCTCAACAGTGCCAGTTCTCCATATGTCTAGTAGCAATTCATTTTTCTTCTTTAATTTTAATTGAACAAAAAGCTCACCCTAAAAAACAAGTTCAATCCAAATGCCAAATCAAATGGTATTTAAAGTATATTTTTGTGTCAGGATTTGAGCACCTGCCTAGTTAGAAACTATTATTATTTGGGTAAATCCTACAGTTCTGTATTACACTTTTTTCTTTACATACAGGTCCTCTTAATATAAGCTTTCTGTATGACGGATATTCATTTGAGACTTTAAGGTTTCCCAAAGCATGCCTCAAGAGCCAAATGTAGTCCATGGAGCCTCCCTGAAACTATAGGGTGAGGACGAGTCTGATTAACTACACTATTTTTATTGCTGGGAAATTCAAACAAAATAATTTCTATTCATTTTGGACCCAGTCCTGCAAGGTGCTGAACAGCTCCAGCAAGGTGTAAAGTCAATGGGCATGTTCATGGGAGTTGTGGAAGCTCAGCATGGTCTAAGATTGGGCTACTATCAAGGAAGATACAAACACAAGCAAATGGTGTGGTCATACATGGATACTTTTAATACAAATCATTATGCAAATTTATAAGGCAACTTACAAGCACCTCTTGGGGTCCTGGCATGTAGCCCATTTAGCCATTTGGGTCAAAAAGGCTGGGCACTCTTGCAGACTGGAGCATTTATATCACTGAATTTCTTTGTCCAGTTCCACTTGGTGCAATGTTATGACAATCGTTCTTATCACTTGGTAAGGGTTCAACCCTCTGGTCAAGCGATCACCTCCCCCTCTTTAGCTCTGCCACTCTAGTGAGGGTTATAGACATTTCTATGGCTGCAATCCCAGATAAAACAGAATGCTTCTCCCTGCCTTTAACAAATGATTCTAGCAGCAGCTGGGAGTGAAACGGCATTGTCATATGCATACTGACACAAAAGAGAAACCAATTAACACGTTTTCACATGGTTTGTTTTTGCAATACGATTTTATAAAAAAGAAATCAGATTAATTGACCAAAAGGGACCGTTATGATCCTTCTAGTCTGACCTCCTGCATACCACAGGACATGGAATTTAAACATCAAGCCCAACCATGATAATGACAGTTGCAAAACTCAAGAGAAAGCACTGTACATAATATGGACGGGTTTATTTTGATATTTGTCATCCTAACACAATCTTTTGTATGTATGACTTCTGCAGACCATCATGCTGTAAAATTAACTGTGAGTGTACTGTACCTTTAGGCCCTTTTCCTGGCGTGGATTCTACAGTAGTTTTGCTCCATATAAGCATTATCCCACCTGAGTCTCCAGTGAGCACATCTCCATTCCCCAAAAATGCCAAACACTGCACAAATTTGGGTTTTTCATATTTCTGAAATGGAACAGCAAGAGAAATTAGAGTGTAATTGTGCAGCCACATGCACACCCACATGTGTAAAAAATAGTTTCTAGTTTTCATAATTTATTTCTTCATCCAACACGTATAATAAGGACGGTGGTCCAAATTCATACCTGGCATAAGCGGCTAACTCCACTGACTCCAATTATATTCATTTATGAATCTGGCCTAGCGCAAAAATATTTCTTACCCCAAAAATCCCTTGCTTTCTTGCTAGTGAATTGCCACTCCAGGTCCAAAAAAATATGTGAGATTTGCCACAAGTTATGATTGTGTTTGCGTCAGTTGGATGGAATTCTACAGCAAGCACAACTTCATTTGTAGTCTACAGAAACAATGAAGAAACCATGAGCTTAATGTAATATTTATTCAGATGGATATTAATTTTCTATTTTACACACACACACACACACACACACACAGAGTTTTACACAGATAAAAAAGAGTATATAGGGTATTGTGAGTATAAATGTATATATACAAAAACATACACACAGATCTGTGTGGATAAGAATATATATTAGTTTGCTGTTGACTTTTACATTTCTGAAAGATTTCATAAGATTTTTAGCCAGAAAGAGAGGTTTTATTAATCTGAAATGATCTTTTGGCATAGCATTCTTTCCCCCGCTAAGCATGCCTTTTGCAAAAGAAAACAAGAAAAAACACAAGAGATGTTTTTTGGATGAAATAAACAAAAACTTGCTGCTGTCTGATTTCAAGACACATATGAGCATCTCATTGTTTTGGATAATGGATTTATGATAGAGGTAACTCAGCCAATCATAATACACTTGGCTTAAGTTCACTCATTTTCTGAAATCCTATAAAAATTCTATTTGGTTCTTCCCCCCTGCTCTGAAAAAGCTACATAACTCACAGATAATAAATATAGCCCCCTATAGTCTCTTACTATAAATAGATTGGGACTTTTCACAAGTTGGATGTACCTTTTCTGAACAGTAATAGCTAAGCAAATTTTATTATTTTATTAATTTTAAAATAATCTTTCATTTTACCAATAAGATATTTTACAACAGATTCATTTTTTTTACAATTTTTTCAGATAAGACTCGTTTGCTATCCAGTAATTAATACAAGTTAAGTGAAACCTGTACAAGACAATACCTTTAGAAGACAATCTCCGGTGCAGATTCAACAAAGCACTTAATCAAATCTTTGCGTACCTTAAAGTATGTGCATTTAAGCATTGGCTTCAATGGGACTTAAGCATATGCTTAAATACTTTGCTGAATAAGGACCCATGAGAGTATCCCAACTATCCCCATATGTATTTAATAAATTCTTATTCAAGGTCATTAGAAGACCATAGTGATTTTTGTTGGACACCTGTGGTAACTTAAATGATATTTCACTGTATATGTGAAACCACACACGTATATACATAATCATGTATACACATGCACACACAAACTTTAAACCCTATAACTATTAGATTTTAGGGCCCAACCCTGAAAGGTGCAGAGCACCTCCTGAGTGATGCAGAACACCTTTAACTCCCATTAAAGCCAATGGCTGTTGAATGTGGTTCAGCAACTTGCAGGATCAGACCCCAAGTTGAAACTCTGGGGCACAACTTGCCTGCATTCCAAGAAATAATTATGACCATCCAAGAAAAAATAACAAAAACAAACCCCCACCTCAAGATACCAGATTTCAGGACTGAAGTACTACAGAATTTAGAAACCAAAAGCATTTATAAAATATAAAGAGGTCTTTTTAAATTAACACTTGAAACTGCTGATGTTAATTTTTAATAAATCTTGGAATACCAGGAAAATTCCAGACGACAGGAAGGCTACTAATGTTGTGTCAATATTCAAAAAGGGCGAGAAGGATGACCTAGGAAACTACAGGCCACTTTGTCTAACATCAATCCTGACAAAATAATGTTTAGCCTAAATATGATTAAAAGTTAGCACCAAACAATATCAATAAAGCATATGTTTAATGGATTCAGAACCGGCTAATTGATATATCTGAAAATAATAGCGGTCAGTGGGAAACCATCTTTGAACGGGGGCGTTTCTAATGGTATTCTGCAAAGATCGGCAGTAGGCCTGACACTATTCAACATTTTCATCAATGGTCTGGAAGTAAATATAAAATCACTGTGATAAAATTTGCAGATGACACAAAGGACTGGGCTGTAAAGAGTCCTGAGAGCTAACAGATGTGACAACACTCTCGTCACTTACACACTAATTAGCTGCCCCCCAGAGAAGACTTGACTAAGGAATGGAGTAAAGGTAATCAGACTGTGGACTGAGGGTGTTAAGGACTATCCCTAGCATTAGCTGGGAGGGTAGTTAAAAAGCACAGGAGGGAAATGCAAAAGGAAAGAGAGAGAGAGGGCTAGCAGAGAGCAGGGGAAACAAATTCTCCAGCTGGCAAAATTGTTTCCTCTTCCTTTCCCTGGAGAAAGGGCTGAGGAGCGAAGGACAGGGTAGGTAGAAATGCTGCACGGGGGTTGTGATGGTGTCTTGGCAGAGTTAACAAATAACTCACAGACATCTAGAGAATGTTGGTGAGGGAAGGAGAGGAGCTTGCCCTGTTACAAGGGCAGTCATACATAGTAATCTGGAACACTTGGTAAGCTAGGCCCAATCAAACAAAATGTGTTTTAATACAGCCAAATGTAAAGCTATAGATCTAGGAACAAGGAATGGAGGTCAGACCTCCAGTTCTGGTGCCCACATTTTAAAAGGATGTGGGAAAAACTGAAGAGGGTGCAGAAAAACAGCTACAAAAATTATTCGAAGGGTGGAAAAAATGCCATACAGTGACAGCCTTTAGGAGCTCGATCTGTTTAGTTTATCAAAAAGAAAACAGTGTATAAGTACTTTCATGGGGAGAACATACTGGGCAGAATGGCTGGAAGCTGAAATCAGACATATCCAAATAGGAACTAAGGCACTTTAAAAAAAAACAAAAAACAAAAAACAAACAAACAGTGAGGATGATGAATCATTGGAGAAAACTAACTAGAGCAGTGGTTTTCAAACTTTTTTTTCTGGTGATCCAGTTGAAGAAAATTGTTGATGCCCGTGACTCAACGGAGCTGGGGATGAGGGGTTTAGGGTGTGGGAGGGGCTCAGGGCTGGGGCAGAGGGTTGGGGTGCAGGAGGGAGTCAGGGGTCTGGGCTGGGGGATGAGGGATTTGGGGTGCAGGAAGTGGCTCCGGGTTTGAGATGGGGGCTCAGGGCTGGGGCAGGAGGTTGGTGTGTGGGATGGGGGCAGGGCTCTGAGTGCAGGCTGAGGATGAGGAGTTTGGGGTGGAGGAAGGGGCTCTGGGTTTGGAAGGGGGGGCTCAGAGCTGGGGTAGGGGATTGGGGCACGGGATTCAGGCACGGGCTTACCTCCGGCAGCTCCCAGTCAGCTGTACAGTGGGGGTGCAGAGACAGGTTTCCTGCCTGTCCTGACACTACAGACTGCGCTGCACCCCGGAAGTGGCCAGCAGCAGGTCTGGCTCCTAGGCAGAGCCATGCAAGCAGCTCAGCGCAGCTGTCACCGACAGGCACTGCCTCCCCCCCCCCCCAGTTCCCATTGGCCGTGGAGCTGGTGCTCGGGGCCGGGGGCAGCGCGTGGAGCCCAGTGGCCCCCCACCCACCTAGGAACTGGACCTGCTGCTGGCTACTTCCGGAAGCAGCGCAGTGTCAGAACAGGCAGGGACTAGCCTGCCTTAGCTGAACAGCACCGCCGACGGGACTTTTAATGGCCCAGTTGGCGGTGCTGACCAGAGCCGCCACGACCCAGTGTCTTACATTCCGACCCACAGTTTGAAAACCACAGAAGTGATGGGTTCTTCATCTGCTGATGTTTTCATATCAAGACTGGATGTCTTTCCAGAAGATATGCTACAGCCAAACACAAGTTATGGTCCAGTACAGAGTAAAAGGGCGAAATTTTATGGCCTGTGATGTAAAGGAGGTCAGACTAGAAGATTTAATGATGTATTCTGACCCTAAGCTCTATAAATAGCTGAATATTGTACATCTCATCAGGCAGCCAGCAACTTCCATCTAGAGATTATCTTTTCATTCACATTTCAGAATGGGATAAGGGTCAGAAAAGAGAAAAATACTGTAGTACCATATGGTAAACATTTTAAAACTTAAGGGCTGATTCTGGTATAAAACAGAAGAAATTCCACTGAGGTCAGTGGAGGTAGTAGAGCAGTGTAAAACAAAGGTGAAACCAGAATCAGGACAGTAATATTTTCAAACATAACTGTATTTTGATGACGCAACATTAGTTTCCATGAAAACAAATGGCAAATCAAAATATCGGAGAACTGGAAGCCAGAAAATCCCTCTCAGTAGTCAGTTCTGGCTGTCATAGAGTCAGCTCTAAAATACTTATCCTTACCTTATGTTCATGTTTTTGACCCTTGCTTCCAAACAAAGAGGATGGAAAAGCTGCTGACAGAGAGCAGGCAGCTGACAGTGTAAGAGTAAGAACTCCCACTTGTAGATTTTGGCTACACCTAGATGTGCCAGTTTCAAAAAGCAGTAGCAAATTTTATTTATCCTTTGGCCCCTTAAACTCCCCAGGACTTCAAAGAGAAAAAGCATTAATGAAAAAAGTTTTTCTCCCCCTAAGGAGTCACTTTGCTTTTAATGGTCTTTATACTTGAAACCCTTTAAAATTTTATTTTAAAAAAATGTTGAAATATTCATATTCCCATATATAAAATCAAGAACAAATAGTGTGTGGTGGAGTTATACTATGCACTGGGGCTTCTCGGATGATAGAAGATTGCCTTTGGATTTGTGCCTCTCAGTGCACCAGATGCATACATAGATAGCCACATGAGAATAAACTGCACATGTGCTGTATAAATTATATCTCAGAATATTTGCTTAAGCAAAGTGTCCTATTTACCTTTATCTCTGCTACCTTTGATTTCCGCTGCCAGTCCCATACAGTCAACATGTGCTCGTTAGAGTCATCAATCACACACAAATGAGAACCTGAATCCTTTAAAAAGAAAGCCATAGACAGTGTTGTCATATCACATTTTAAAATAGGATAAGGTATGATTTAAAACCAAACACAGCAGTAGTATATTACAAAATCACTAGAATGCACAAATAAATATTGTGTCTATGTGAATAAGCAAAAGTTTAATATATTTGGATATTTTCCTTTATACTTGGAACTGTGAAATCTAAATTCAGCTTATCATCATTTCCCAATAAACAAATGAACCACACTTTAGATGGTATTCTGGTAGACTTTGAAAGCAGGCATTGTCAAGTCTCCCTCACCACCACCTTTTAATACCTTTTTAACCCTATTGTTTGCATAAAATACAAAATGTTTTGTCATCTACCACACTTGTCCCTTCCCATTTGGAAAATATTTTTCTTGTCTGTTTCATTTGGGACATGTAACTTTCTTGGTTCATTTCTTTAATTGTGACAATAATATTAACACTTAGCATATATATCATGTTTTATATTTTCAAAGCTATGTATACATAGCCAATTTAGACCTCACAGCAATAACTGTTAGAAGCTCCATTTTGCAGATAGGAAAACTGAAGCACAGAATACATTATTAAAGTAAGAGCATGTCTAGGTATCAAATTTAAATGTCTGTTCTCCCTCTGCAATAGGCGGCAGCTTAGCATTTAAGTTTTACATACTGTAAACAGTTTAAATGTTTTACAACAAGAAGTTACTGAATAAAAAGAATCAATGATAACATAGTTAGGGACAAATTTTAAAAGACAGGCCCAGGATCCTTGGGGCAAAAATATGCAGTATTTACAAATGAACATGGGGGGGTGTGGGGGGTATTATTGTAGTACCATATAAAAAGCAGGCATTTAAGTACCCATTGGTGAACAGATTTGGGACCTTCTTTTTCTTTTAAATGTGGTTCCTAGAGTCCTACCTACATTCACTAACAGATTATGACAATTTTCAGGTGGCTGAAATTTTAACCTTAAATGACAGTACAATTTCCCTTTAAAAGTGAATTTGAAACGGAATGCTAAGTGTACAAAACTAAACTAAGAGGCCTTATTCTTGCTTTGGTTACATGAGCTGCTCTTATTGGGATTAGTGGGATCTGTAGAAAACTATGGCCCTAGGGTATTTCCTGCTTATTGTCCCTATAAGGCACCATATGACAGCTATGTTTGGGATGTAAAATGCTTGTTTTTAAATTATGTGTTGTTAGATTATTATGGCTAACCTGAAAATGTAGCCCTAATTGGTCTAAGTGTAGCTGCAAAATGGCACTAACAAAAATGGATGCTGGCCCTTACTGTTCTTCTAAGATTTTTTTGATGGCATTTTCTCTACTTCTTAGAAAATAAGACTGAAAACTTTTAGAGGTATAAGAGAGGTCTTTTAGAGGCGATGAATGTATGACATTGAAATTGCATTGATACAGCTCTGTGGGCTATAATTGTGTGCTCTAACGAGCTGGAGGAAATAATGGTGTTGCCTTAAACTGTACTATTTTGTTTCTATAATATGCTGGGGAAGGTGAATATTTATTCTTTTTAACAGCAAAGTTTTTTTTTGTCACTTCTTGAGGGCACAGCTCAAACATAATTAACAATAATAATTTTAGCAGCATAACTAAGCACCAATTTAATCTTGTTTTATTTATTTAATTTCTTAATTGTGGAAGATTTTTTCTTTTAATTGGGGATAAAGGGAGATGGCATCTTTACTGCCCTACATATGGCTTTGGCACCCTACCAGGAGGTCCTTATTCATACACACTTATGGCAGGTGTGCTCATTTAAAAACCACATTATGATGGATGATCTAACTGGATGATAATATGAAAGGCCTGAAGGGAAGAAGTAATTTGGAGCCCTAGGTCCCTCGATTGCCGTAATGATGGACAATGGTAGATATGAAAGAATAAACCACTGAGGACTAGACTAGGTGTCTGGAATTGGATATCAGCCCCTGGTTTCAAATGGGGAATAATCTCAGAATGCAGAGCACTGGTTGGCAGGGACCTTCCACAACAGCTTCTGCAGTTTAATGACAAGGAATGAATGACATCCTAACTTTGCATATATTACTGAAAACTTGCTGTGATACTGAAGAATTAGCCCAGATATCGCCTAAGAGATACTAAATTCAATCTGAGGCACAGGCTGGCTGGGGTGGTGGAGTGGCTGTGCTTACTGCTTGTAATCTTAAACGCAGATCATCTCCTCAAAATTGGGTATGTTTCAACATGGTCAACTAGTGTAAGTGTCATAGAACAAGATAAACATGGGACTAAGTAGTTGTTTACAGCCCACCCTCTGTATCTAGGATTTCCTGGCTGAGTTCCCAAATTTGACCATGGAATCAACTTAGTCTTAGAGTCACTGAGGCTAATGATCCTGGATGAATTATGTCCACGAAAACAATGACTCTTCTTGGTTGACTCAAGATGTCCTGGCCTCTGACAACCACAGAAAAGTCACAGGTGGTTCACAGATTTACACAAAGCTGGTTGCACTCTGGATTTTATTTTAGATATAGTACTGGTGACTTGAGGCTGGAGGAGTGCAGATTATACTTGGCTAGAGTAAGGGCATGAACTTCATTTACTTTGAGGTTAAGCACCACCTTCCGGGTAGGGAATCTTTTTTATTGTGCCACCCTGAGATTAATGGACCCAATCAGGTTTCTGAAATCTCTGGAGGAGAATATTATGCAACAGATGGGCAACTGTTAATAGCATGTCGTGATTTTCTGATTATGTTTTATCATCATTACTCCTGCGGTGTTTCACACACACACCTTCCCTCCTAATCTTCTGAGCAGCTCACTTAGGTATTCAGATGATCTGCAACAGATTAAACATGCTGGGAGAGGTACAATGCAGATGACAAAAACGACATTTTGGGATTTTATCAATCATGACAAAGAATTTTGAAGTCTTATGCCATGGCCATGATGGAAGCAAAGAACACTCTTCTCCAGCATATCATCATCTAGGAAGTCCCGATCAAAAGCATCATTCTGGTTAGTAGACCATCTGATTAATTTGATCCACCTCTACATACACCCACATGAGTGCTTCTCACTGTGAGGAATGTTCTATCCACTTTATAGATCAGATTGTGTTTGTCTCACCCTGATATAGAATTGTTTCTTATGAAGTAAACAAAGTCGTCTCTGATTAGCTTCTTTGATTCAGCCAGACTCACTCCGTAAGGTTCTGCTGAGCTATTGGGAAGTTTTGGGCTGCAATTTGAGAAATACATTCCTACTGGTGGGACATCGACTCTACTCTTGATAGACACAATCAATACCTCCCTAAGCAAGGCCAAAGTGCTAACATCTCTCAAGCAATCAATTGTTATTTCTTCTATTCAAGAAACTGCCTCATAATATTGATAATCTGGCAAATTATTGCTATGTCCTCTTTGAGGAAGATTATGACAAGGAAATTCTTCCATTTTCTGGATTTCCGATTACTGGAAACCCTTTCAAACTTTGTTTAGATCTGGCTACAGCTGAGAAACCACCCTGACACAGGACTTTAGAAGTCACTTTCCTCACTGATCTGGCAAGGTACACCAAAAGGTCTATATTTTTGCACAGGCCTTTGCCTGAAGAAGAGGTATGGCATGAGAGAATGAAAGGTTACTTGGAACAGGGAGTTGTTGATTCTTTTAGTTCAGTATTTATCAGAGTTTTCCCAGCTAAGATACAAAACCTAGGCATGGCTTCTTGCCATGAATTATCCACATTCCACAGTCTTTTACAGTCACAAAGAATTGTGCAATTGCAAAGAAACCACAGCTGATTTCAATTGCTGAGGATGGGGAAAACCTGATGGAAACAAATGGGGCACTGGGTCAGAAGCCTGGTGGAGAGGAGGTAGAGCAGGGCAGGGACTGCTGATGGGTGGGGACTGGTTGCCATGAGCTGCTTGCAGCAATATGAGGCCTGATGCGGGTGCTGGGTGATCAATGGGCTGCAGTGTGAGAAAGGAGGAGCTGCTATTGGATAGCACTTCTCCCTTCTCCTCCCAACCCAACTGTACTCTATCCTCAGGTGATGGTAGCTGGCTTCCTCTTCCATGAACAGAGATGGTGTTGAAGTGGGAAGGTATGGGGAGAGGGGATACCAGATTGAGCAGGACAGCAACATCTTCTATTCCCCTTCATTTCCCCATCTACAAGGCACAGAATTATACTGTATTTGATTCTCAACCAGTGGGGTCAATATCCATGTGAGAATCACTGCTTGGGACAAATTTTTCAGGGCGGGTGTACTTAAAGGAAACTAACGATTAATGTATGCATATCTGGCAAATCTTATGGGAAGCAAAATTATGATTTTGAAATGAAACATATTCCAGAGTTTAATATTTTCTCCATATTCAGCAGATTTGATAAGACTTTTTCCATTAAAAAATGCAGGGCAGGCTGGACAAATGATTTTAGCAAAATCTATATTTGTTTTATATAATAGTCAAAATTAACAAAATGAAACAGCTTGATAAAGTTACTAACAATTTTTCTGGTCACAAGCTTTTGATGGCCTAGATAACAAGATTGCTCGTATTTGGTCTAAATTTTTAAAACCTTTATGCTTGCCATTAAGAGGAGCTGATAAGATATTATTTCTTAAGCAGACGGAAGTGCAAGCAAGGGGTTTATTGTTTCCTGTCCTAGGATGAAACTCTAGTACGACGCAGAGAGAAAATAAATACTTTGCATCAGAACTTGCCAAGATTCATCTTCATGAACTTCCTAACAGAAACAAATCTTTCAACATGTGTTGAAACAGAAATGCAGTACGGCCTTCTCAATTTCTATTCTACGTATTTCTCGTAAACTGTTTATTGGTTGTACTATTCTGCTGCCACTATTTTACATGTGTAACTTTCTGGGGGTTTTCCTAGAACTATTTTCATTGCCCTAAGTTGTTTTAATGCAATGTATTTAACTTTCCAAACATGCTTCAGTCCCAAGATAGTTCAGCTAGAAAACCACAGTACATATAACACCTACAGGTGTTTCTGTCTGACTTACATACAGTATGGTAAATTATTAAAAAAATGCAATTTTTTTCTTACTGCTTTTGAAAAATCCAGACACCCCACTCCACGCTCGAAAGTGCCGAGGCCAATAACCTGCAGTGTCATCAGGCTCACTGAGTCCCATACTCTAACATGGGGCTGCAAAGGCTAAGTAAAAGCAATTTGATAAAAACTGTTACTGAAGGCTAAAATGTCACATGCAGATTTAATCTTACATTAAGCAGATACTGACTTCTGTTGATGTCAACACCACGAATTATTGACCTGTAAAGTAAATATTGACTGAAGTGAAGATAAATAATTATACATTAACACCTTACATTTATATAGCACCTTTAATCTCAAAGGATTCTAGGCAAGATTTACAGACTTCTGTATAGCGACTGCTTTACCTATCACCTCTGGGATGGAAACAGAGCAGCGTTGTCCAATTTAAAATGCAGGGCAAAATGTAAAATACCTAAGCTGAAATTTGGCCAATATCCTGATCACACACACACACACGACCTGGGTTTTATCTCATACCAAAAATGGCACATGCAGTGCCATGCAGTGCATCCTAGAATCGAATCAGGTTAATGCTTCAGAATTGACTCAGGTTAGACAGGACTGAATCACCTACACCCCGCTTCCTGCTGCAGCTTTTTCCATGGTGATGTTCCATCCAAGTGATATCCAGGCCCAAACCTGCTTGATTTCACATATTTGACAAGGCCACAGCCCACGATGGCTTAGTATAGCTTAAGAATAAAGTCAGTATTCACCACAAAAAGATAATAAATCATGATGTTGACAGAAAACAATTCTAAAAGGATTACTTCAACAGCCGTGCAATGGAAATCTTAACTGTAAACAATACCAACAATAAAATCACAATTATTCTTTGCAGCAAAATGGGATGAATTGCAAAGTCTAAGTATTGGTCTTATTTACAGTGCATTTACTACTTGGACCACGTTCATTATAAAATTCTACTGTATGTCATACTAGCTATATTAACTCAGTAAAGATGAACTGATCATTTAAATTCCAACAGACCAGTTTAACAGCCATACGCAGGACTGGTTATGGGTACTCTCACTCAGCTGGGTGAACTTACTGTACAGCTTGCCAAACCCTCAAGGCTTGCTTAGCTCATGAAGTCAGGTTTCCTTTTCCTTGAGGCCATAAGAGTACATGGGGGCCTCTAGTTTGAGTCAGAATCTCTTTCCCTTGGGGAGAAGACTGACTAGAATAAGTGTGGAAATCCTATGGCCCTCTTGCACGGATTGCAAATTCCACATTTGTGTGGGAAAGAGAAGCAGAAATATGTGATGCATACCACACGAAAAAAGGCTTTATAAACTTCTGCTCTTTATAATGTGCAGTTGTGTACTTGATTTGTATTCATTTTCTTATGCTAGAGGAATTCACAATCACCTTAAAAAACAGGAAAAATAAATATTTATCTAAATGTAACACACACACAAATCATAAATAGAGGATCGAGGGATGAAAAGAATGAAGTATGTATGTTTTATCCTGATTTTCAAACAAGATACTATTCCTCAGCAGCTCTATTACTCACCCTTCCATCTTTATCCACTCCAGCTAGCTGTCCTGTGGCAATCCTAATTTTGTCTGGATGAACTGCAAGGCTAAGAAATAATGTCAACATGGAAGATATTTGTTAGGGATATTCCACATTCTAATGCCCTGCTTTTGCCATTACAGCTCTTCAAAGTGAGATGCAATTTTGTAGTCCTTTTATCTGTGTGAACAGACGTTTCACACAAAATATGCACACAGGAGCAAAGAAAAGATTTTGGGTAAAATTTTCTAAAGTGCTTAAGTGACTTAGGAGCCTACGTTTTATTTTCAAAAATGACTTAACTTAGGATCATAAGTCCCACAGACTTTCAATGAGACAGTCTTGACAATTTTTGAGTCATACTACTTCAGGTATGTGTTATCTAAAGATAGCCACACTGGTGAAAATCCTTAGTGTAGAAGGATAGATTGGTATAAGCCACTGTTTGTTCATGTGCATGTTATATTGCTTTCTAGCAGCTGTAAAACACCCCAGATACTGTAATTTGAAAGCATACTGCCTGAATCTGAGGCCAATAATCTGGGTGTCATCTTTGACTTAGTTCTCATCCACTTTCTCTGTAACATCTGTAAGATGAGAGAGCCAGTGGAGGAAGGCAAACAGAGGGTTGATGTGGTCAGAATGATGGATCAGGAAAATCAGTCCAGCACAACATCGTGACTGAATGTAAAGGGGGCAAGATTGGAGGCATCAAGGCCATAGGAAGTGATTACAGTAAATAAGTCACAAAACAATAAGGGTCTAGACAACATATTTTGTTGTCTGTACAGACAGAAAGACCACTTCACCAACACATCGAACATCCTTCTCACCTTTATGGCCTTCCACCAGATAAACCTACATTACTTCTCCAATAGAACATCTAATTAAAGTCAACCATTGCCTTTCTTCTGCTAAGGATACTGGCCTTGACTGCCTGCTTTCCACATGAGCATCTTTGTGCTGACTCCCAGGCTATCCATTAATCCTTAGGAATAACCCCCTTTCAAAGTTTGCAAAGCCACTACCCAACTTCATACTTTTGTAAATCCTCCTTAAAACCTATCTTTGCCATAACGTCTGCAAATCACTCCCACCTGGCTTTGGCTGGGCTGATGACAACTCTGACCAGTATTCTGACTAGTTTATGCTGCTATTCCTGCCTCTAGTACACTGCTCCCCCACATCTGTGTATTCCCATCACTTTCTGTTTAAATCCAAGACTAAACTCTCTGAGGCAGGGACTGTCTTGTTGTCATGTGTTTGTACAGTGCTTAATACAGTGGAGCTCTAATCAGGGCCTCCAAGCACTGCTGTGATGGAAAATAATAAAAATGACAAAGATGACAAAATAATAATAAAGCAACAAATGCCCCTTCAGTTGGAGGATATTAAATGAATATGAAGTTGTATCACAATAAATTATGGTATAGTCACACAAGCAGGCATTTATAACCAGTTGTTATATACCAACCATTTAACACAGTCTGTATGACCCAAGTAGTGTCGCTGAGTTCTCTCTTCATAGTTAAATAATACCACTATTGATGCTATGAAATATACTATTTCCCCGGTAGGAAGGAGATATACATTGGCTCGACAATCTCTTCCACGATACCCATATCTTTTTTAAAAAGTCAAGGTTTTAAATAAAATAGCGTATGAGGATCAGTTTAGAAAGGCTTCCCTGTGGAGTTCTCAAATGTTAATACCTTTTCCTTTTTAATTTCCCTTGTGAACCTCTGAACCAGACATTATCCTCATCAAGGAGCATTACATTTGCACCAATATGTAGCTTTAACAAAAAATATTGCACATGCAGAAGAGTTCAGGAAACCAATATGCTGTCAGTTGTTCCCATTAACAGAAAAAGAAAGCATACATAAAAATATGCAGAAGTATGAAGCATGAAACAGTGTCAGTTTATAAAGTGTAAATGTGAAATTTCATTAGGTAATAAGAGCACTCACTGTACCGCCTTAACGTGTTTCACAGCAACAGAATTGCGTCAGACAGCAGACTTTGTACTTTTGCATTCCAGAGTACAAGTGTATCAGTTCCACTGGGCCTCTTAAAACAAGTGTGTGAAAATTCCAAATGCTCCTCAGAAAAAGGCAAGATACTGCAAAGCAGCTCCACCATTTGGGAAATGGAAATTTAAATATAAAAAGGTCGTTAAAAAATAAGACCAAAGAACAAGATAGGACTAGATAGGTACATTTACCCAATCCATATTAAGTTGAGGGGTGTGGGAGATACGGTGGAGGGGGGAGGGACCCGTGCTGATCAGTGGATACAGAGCCTTTACCGATTTCAAATCCAACCTAGTTCAGTAGTGCTTAAACCTAGTTACCATATAGCTGCTTGGTGTCCTGTGTAAGGAGGTTATGTTTATTTAATGTACCTATCTGCTCCCGTTTCAATCCTTAGGCTCATTACATACAATTACAAACACTAACTTTACCAGAATATAAAATAACATCTATAAAACCTTAAAAACAGATTTACTAAAATACCTTCCCCACTATCACCCTGCTGTCAATGACAACTTCCCACCTCAGCACCTGGTATCCCACAGGAAAGTAGGGAGAATACACTGCAATAAAAGACCCATGGCACAGCCATAGCTAGCCCAGGTGAGCTGACTTGGGCTGTCAGGGCTTGGACTGTCAGGCTAAAAATTGCAGTGTAGATGTTCAGGCTTGGGAAACCCAGAGGTGAGTCTCAGGCTACATCTCCACTACCATGGTAGGTCTACCTATGCTACACAACTCCAGCTACATGAGTAACGCTGCTGGAATCGACGTACCTTAGGTTGAGTTACCATGGGGTCTACGCCGCAAGGGGTCAACGGCGGAAACTCTCCTGTCTACTTACCTTATCTTCTCGTCGGGGGTAGAGTACAGGGGTCGACTAGGGAGCGATCTGCTGTCGATTTGGTGGGTCTTCACTAGACCTGCTAAATCAACCACTGGTGGATCGATCTCAGAGTGTTGATCCCGGCTGTAGTGTAGATGTAGCCTCAGAGACTGGGCTCCAGCCTGAGCCTGTATATCTACACTGCAATTTTTAGCCCCACAGCCAAAGCCACTTGTGCCTGAGTGAATTGACTTGGTCTCTGAAACTTGGTACTGCTATTTTTTTTATTGCAGTCATAGGCGCCAACTTTCCCTGGCACCGGTGGGTGTTCACACACCCTCTGCCCTGGCCCTGCCCCAACTCCACCCCTTCCCCGCCCGTTCCCTGCCCCTATTCCAACCCCTTCCCCAAAGTCCCCGCCCCAACTTTGCTCCCTTCCGGCCCCATCGGACCCCTCCCCAAATCTCCATGCCAGCCCCGCCTATTCCCTGAGCACACTGCGTTCCCCCTCCCCCCCAGCGCTTGCCGCGTGAGACAGCTGTTTCGTGGCGGCAAGCACTGGGAGGGAGGGGCGAGAAGCGGGACGCAGTGCACTCAGGAGAGGAGGCGGAGGTGAGCTGGGGGGCAGGGCGGGGAGCTGCTGGTGGGTGCAGAACACCCCCATGGGTGCTCCAGCCCTGGAGCACCCACGAAATCGGCGCCTATAATTGCAGTGTAGATGTACCTTAAGAAACTCTTCCAGTGTTGCCCTGAAAGCCTCCAAAAATGGGCTCTGCTCAACTAAGCAGGCAGGAAGTGAAATTCATAGTCAAAGATCCTGCACAGAGAATGCCCTACCACCAGCCCTTCCTTAAAAAAAATAAAACCAGAGGGCTGCTAGGCTGGATAACAACTGTGGCTGTACCTTAGGAGGAGAGAGGTGATGTCTTCAACTGGCAGCCTGAGCTCTCTTCCTAGTGGACAGGCATACTGTTTAGATGAGGTTGCTAAATTATGAAAACTAAAAAAGAAATGTCTTTACCCATTAAATTTACTTTGCCACAGTATATCAAACATTCCCAGCAATAGTATTTTGTCCAACCAGACAGCTAGAGATGGGGAAAGGAAATTAACAGATAAGGGAAATTTTGTCTGTTGATGGCATTAGTGAAAATCCTAACAATAGGGAAGTGACTAGCAGCGAACTTCCAGAATTGATGGTGACAGACCAATCATAACATTATCTCTTTACCACAGTATGAAGAGTTGTGTTCTAAATGCAGTTTCTTGGGGAAGAGTAGATCTTTGTTCTCAAGTGTAGTAAAGGAGCATAATGATAAAGGTTTATTTGGATTGACACCTTTGAATGTTCAACCTAGACCAGTGGTTCCCAAACTGGGGTTCGTGAATCCCTGGGGATTCGCAAAATGTTACAGGGGGTTCTCGGGAAAAAATTCCCTAATGGCGGACAGAGCTCTCCCTTGGGACTTCCAAGCAGATCAAAGCAAGCATATCTATCACAGTAAGGAGATTTAAACATCAAGACTCCTTATAAGAAATAGAAAGGGAGGTGGATATTTTTTGCTGTTTTTAAAATTAAATAGGCAGCTAGTATTGTTTTTAAAATTATTATGAAGAACAAGTTTAAGCTTTGTTGTAACCTGCGTTGTTTGCCTGGACTGCTCCAGACCTGAACGTTTGTGTAGGAGGAACTCTGAGTTGGCTTCTTAAATACTTTCATACTGTTTCACATCTGATACTCCTTGATGAAACACAGAATCCTTGTCTTATAACAGGATTATTCAAAGTGATACAAGCTACGAAAGTGAGATCTTGGAAGAGTGTTGCTGTTTTCATAATGTAATAAAATACTGTAATGATAAATAATAAATAGTGTGTAATAAGTATGCCATAAAAACAAATTTTATATTTCCAAGATCACTGCTTTTATAATTTATACTCAGGTAAAGGAGAAAATCCCTGGAAATATTCATTTTTAGGAGGGGGTTCACGAGACTTGACATTTTAGTGAAAGGGGTTCATAGGTTGTTAAAGTTTGGGAATCACTGACCGAGAACACCGTTAGGGACTTAGCAGATCGGGCATTGAACCCTGATGGTGTAAACAGGTGTTTTACAGCAGAAGCTATCAGTGGAAAGCTACAAATTTTGGCAGATAAAACAGTGGAGGGAAAGGGGAGTGGTGGGTTAAAGAGATATTTGTCCACTGGACTCTCTCTCAGCAAGATTGGAAACTGATGCAAAGAACACTGCCCCCAAATACTGTGTGTGTGTGTGTGGGTTTACTTATTGTTTGCATACTTTTGAATCATTGTTGCTGTGTTTTCCCAACATTAATGCTGTTCTCTCCCCCCTTGCTAATGGTTTTCTTTTTTGTTATACACAGAATTGGTGGTTGCAAGTGGGGAAGCTTTGCCTCTTAGAGGCACTGGTACAAATTTCTCTACTCATCCGCTGGGGGGTGCCTCTTTGTGGTTCATCTGGGGATTAGCTCTCAACCAGTCTGGTGCCCCTTCCTTCGGTTGCTTGCCCTATGGTGTCTTTCTCTCTCTCTGGACTTGATTGCTCCCTCTTTATAACCTCACGGCTACAGTGGATGTAGGTTCCACAGCTTCTCCTTTCCGAAGCACTGATATTCTCAGCCTTTACACTATCTATTACTCAGCAGGACAAAAGGAAAGAATGAGTAGTTTTAATTTACTTTGCTAAGATAACACATCTAATGACAGAATGTCTATAGACAGTAGTACTAGGACACAGGGTCCTTTCATCTTGATCCCTAGCAGACAACCTGACCGTCGCTCACATCATCAATGCCACTAGCATGATTGGTAGTTTGGGCATTGTCAGCAGAGCAACCAATTATTGGACTGAAGTATGCCCTAGAAGTTTGTCTGCTCAATGTGGATACAATGGAGAAGAATCAAATTAGCTTACACAATGCTGACCACAACTTTTACGGGTGAGTCAGTGCAGATCAGGACAAATCACGTTCAGCATCATTTCCCACAACAGACTAACCCCATGATGCTGCAAATAAACTGTCCTAGTTTACACTGATGTAAAATTGTGATCAGCATCATGTCACCTAACTTCATTCCTCACAATCAAATACAAACACAATACCATTTCATAATGCAGACCAGCCCCTAGAGACAAGTCCCTTCATTTGAGAGTTCAAGTGCATTGGTGGTGCAAATATGGGGAAATTTTCACTCTGTGGCTCGTTCTCTACCTGCTTTGTGGATAAATAGCAGAAGATTTAGGGGTTTTATTCAGCACCTTTCACCTCATCAAAACCTCCTAAAAACCAAGAGAAAAAGTCTCACAATGGTCCATTACAAAGAGTGTACGTGAATGTGTCTGAAATCAAAATCTTGCTTTTTGGAAATAATATTCTAATGAAACAATTTTGAGAAGTTTTCCTTTTTTTCCTAGTTAAAATAAAGATGTAATTAGTTCCAATAGAAAAATAAATACAGGAATATATGGTGTGACTGCTCAGTGCATGGAAATTTATGAAGTCTATCTTTATGGCTCTTTAGTGCCAGTAAACTTAAAAAAACTGTTTTGTCAAGGAAAATTAATTTTTCTGATTTAAGCAAATTCCATAATTATAAGAAAAAACATGAGATTAGATTTTTAAAGAAAAATCACAAAAGAGGAAAAGCAAATATTTAAGGATACATCCACTCCAGTTTTAACTTCTCAGGAGGCAGTTCTGTCCTAATGTCATCATAATTTTCTACATCAGAAGGAATGAACATTGTGATTGGTCGACCCCGCATGAACATCTTAATATACTCTCCCTCTGTTGAAACAAAAAAATATTAATTGCAATGATTTTACTTTCTGTGTTCAATTTTAATGAATTCCTCAATACTAAGCTAAGAGAGACTCAAAGAATATATTTACAGTATTATGATTATTATCTTACAAAATGTGGGTTTGATAAAGGACAAGATCTGTAAAATTTGTGTACTGAAAAATTATACTTACACAATATGCATGTACAGTTACTGCTACCATAAATGCCTTTGTGGTAACTCTTTGGATAAACTATGCATGTAACATTTTATACATACAAATACCTCATGATACCAAATTTCAAAGTTATCACAAAATCTAAAGTTGAATTATCACAAACAATATTTACCAAACGTCACTATCTTAAAATAGATTTTTTTTAAAAAAGTGTGTCAAGTGGACATCATTAAAATCACTCAAATAATTTGAACATTCAGTAGAAACGAATAGAAAACTGTTCCTAACAGTACTATCACTATATTGAAAATATCTCAGCGACAAATAATGTGCACTTCCATAGCATGTATTCATGAACGGATCTCAGAATGGTTTTACCACACAATGAATTAAGCCTCACAGCTCCTCTTTGAGGACCATTTTTCATACGTAGGAACTGATGTACAGAGACGCTAAATGGTTTGCCCAAGATGGCACAGCGAGTCAGTAACAGACAGTAATCCTGCTTCAAGGTTCCCTTGCTGTGACCACTAGGTAAAGCCATGGTCCCAGTGGAGTCCTTTCCACACAATGTGCCAATTACAATTTCTGATGAAGTTTAAAATATATCAAGGACCTGATTCTGAGTTACACTATGAAGCACTGTACACCACTCTGGCTGTGTTAAGAGCAGTGTCAGGGGCCCTAGTGCAATTGAGAAACAGGCCCTAACCTAAATGATTTATTTATTATGGTTCAATTTACGGCCTATTTTCAGTATCTTTCCCCTTTAACAGTAATTAATGTCAATGGTGAATATCACGATCATAAACTAAAAAATGTAGTGTAATATTTCAGTCTTAAATATACAAATTTGATTAGATATAAACAAAAACCCCACCCACCCCCACAGTTTAACTTCCACCAACAGCAGAACTCCCAGATGTTTCTGAGTATGATATTTGAAAATCCTAATAGTTAATATGATAACTCAGAGATTGCAGCAGTCAGTTGAACCAGCTTGCTGACAAATAGGGGAAGAGTGGAAGCACAGCTATTCAGTGTTGATGGATTAGCACTATGGCACTGAGAAGTGGCATAATGACATCTGAATTGATTAATATTGCCAATTCGAAATTAATATATTTGATTAATTTTTAAAAATCTCTTGGTAAGAAATAAAAGGCTTGTCTTGAGTTTCTAAGTGACCAAGCAATGTTTATAAATCATTCTTAAAGATGAGAGGCAAGGTCACTGCCTTTCAGATTGCAATGTAGAATATTCTTGTAGAGATGTTTGTAGAAGATTATAATTTAGAGATGCTCGCTCTTAAGGGACAGTATTATGAACAGAGGAATCTGGAGATGTACCTTGAAGGTTGGGGTTGGGAACACCACATGGCTGTGTCTAGCAGCTCACTTCAGAAGCTGTCCAGTTTGTTTTATTAAAGTTTTATTCCTTTCTCATCCACTGGTTTGCTATTTAATTAACCCCAGGATCATTACAAGGTGTCAGAAGTAATGAGAAGGAAACTGCAGTGATTGCGACGTTAACTCCTGTGTTTTCAACTGAAAGCAGAGACAAAGGGAGGCACCAGAGAAACAGGTGAAGCATCAGGCACAGAAGCGTTTGCATGTACTTTATTTCGTGAGCACAATAGTAGCTTGACTAGTTTAAGAAGGGGGTTGGTGGAAGCCAAAAAATGGATGTGTTGCAACCTCCTTCCCGTCTGCAATTGTCAGGCAATGTTGTAGAGAACTGGAAAATAATTCAGACAGGGATTTCAATTGTATTTAACAGCCATAGCGGCAGAGGAGAAAAATGATAAAGGGAAATCATCTATCTTTTTGCATGTTTTTGGTAGGATGCACTGGATATTTATAACTAAGTTTAAAGAAGGTGAAAGCATGAAGTTAAATTTCTTCTGTATTTATATTTTTACTGACTAAATTTGAGAAGCACTGCATGCCAAAAAAGAATGAAACATTTGAGAGAGACAATTTTTTCACATGCATGCAAAAAACTGATGACACCATAGAGCAATGTGTCACAGAATTAAGGAAATTCAGTAAAATCTGTGACCATAGGCAGTGGGCGAACCGTTGGTTGGGGGAGGCTAGCCCCCAGCCGGTCCTGCCCATGCTTGTGACTTTGCTGAGTGGCCAGAGTCTCTGGTCAGAGACAGAATCATTTGTGGCATTAAAGACAATGTGTTAAGAGAGAGATTGCTCGTTAAAGGGGATTTAATTTTAGAAAAGGCTCCCCAAGTATGCAGGGCAGTAGAAGCACAAACCAAAGAGCTGAATTCATCGAGAAGGGGTTATCCATGTACTAAGTACTAAAGAATATAGCCAGAATAGGTCAAATCAAAGAGTGAAACCACTTGCTATGAAAACCACTGCTAGGGAGAAGACGGGGTACAGATGGTTATGTGGAAGATGTGGATCACAACATGGTCCCATACAATGTGTTGCCTTTGGGAAACTCTGTCATAAATGTGGGAAGAATAATCATTTTGCAAAATGCTGTAGATCCCAAATGCAGAAAAGTCAAGTATATTCAGTTAAAGACAATCTTGAGGAGTTTTTCATAGATGTACTCGGATCTATAAGGCCTGATGAGAGAGATCGGATACTGCCTATGACAGAGAATGGAACAATTATTCCACTGAAACTGGACACAGGAGCTCAGGTTAATATTCTGTCTGAACAAGATTATCAGAGGCTCAACAGAAAATCAAGACTGGAACCAACAAAAATACAAGTAACTGGTTATTCTGGAACAAATATACGGGTGAAAGAGAGGTACATTGCTAGCATCAACCATAAAAACAATGTACAGGTTCCCTTTCATTGTAGTGCCAAAGGAGGTGACACCAATTTTAGGCCTGGCTGCATGTGAGAAACTCAGTCTGGTAAAAGGGGTGCCCTCACTACAAGATCATACTGAACCTGGCTATGAGGCACTCTTTTGGGAATATCATGACCTGCTTCAATGGTTGGGTTTGCTTGCAGGGTGAACATATAATCCGGATAAACAAGCAGGTCCCTCCAGTTATCTATCCATGTAGAAAGGTGCCATTTGCATTCTGTGATAAACTCAAGGCTGAGCTTGCAAGGATGGAAGCAACGCAAGTAATACAAAAAATTGAGGAGCCAACAGAATGGGTGAGCTCCCTTGTCATCATAGAGAAACGTGATGGCCAGCTACGCATATGCTTAGATCCTAGAGACCTCAACAAGGCTATAAAAAGAGAACATTTAAAAACTACCAAGCAGAAAAGAGATTATGGTTCAATTTGCAAATACTTGATATTTCAGTAAAACAAATGCATCCTCGGGGTTTTGACAGCTAAAATCAACCAGAGAAGGTTCAAAGCTATGCACATTTAACCCCATTTGGAAGATAGATTCTTATGGTTACCCTTCAGCATAGCTTCAGCACCAGAAGTGTACCACAAAACCATACATATGATCTAAAAACATATGAATGACGTTGACACCACAATGAATGACATCGTCATCTGTGACTCAACAAAAAAGGAGCATGATAGTAGACTTTGGGAAGTCCTGGGTGCAACTAGAGATGCAAACCTCAAACTAAATAGAGAGAAATGTGCTTTAGGGGTTACAGAACTGACTTTTGTTGGGGACATTATTTCCAACCAAGGTGTAAAACCTGATACAAAGAAGATTTCAGCCATTGAAATGATGCCATGTCCCCAGTCAAAGAAAGATGTCCAGTGGTTCCTGGGAATGGTTAACTATCGATCTACCAAAGCAACAACTCTGAGAAAACTCCTAGAGAATAAAAATGAATGGTATTGGGATGCAGAACAGGAGGAATCATGGGAAGGTTTAAAACAACAACTGATACAAGAACCACTATTGAAGCTCTATGCACCAGAAAAGCCTATTAAAATCTCAGCACATGCTTCACAGTGTGGGTTAGGTGCAGTGATTTTACAGAAGCATAAGGATTGCTGGCAACCAGTGGCATATGCAGCCAAATCACTGACTTGAGGCAGAAACCAGATATGCACAGATTGAAAAGGAACTTTTAGGAATTTTGTTTGCCTGTGAGAGATTCAATAAGTATATTTATGGACAGACTGTGGACATTGAAACAGACCACAAGCGCCTGATAGCATTATTTAGAAAACCGCTAAATGACTATACCGTAAGGATTCAAAGAATGATGATAAAGCTGCAAAACTATGATTTGGTTGTGACTTACGCGCATGGTAAATTCATGTTCACTGAAGATGCATTTTTCAGAGCAGTGGCTCCCACGAAACCAGAGAAGACTTTATAGACAGAGATGCAAGCCTATGTAGATCTGATTGTAAAGTCAATTCCCATAGCTAACAGGAAACTGCAACAAATAAGAGAGGAAATGGAGAAAGAGGAATCGTTGGGAATCCTTAAAGAAGTGATAATTAAAGAATTAATAATAAAAGAAATAAGTAGTTGCTGTCCAAGTATAAGAGACTATTGGAACTGCAGACATGAAATTACCGTGATAGATGCAGTGATTTCCAAGGGCAGTAAGGTTGTAATTCCAATGAGCCTCCAAAAAGAAATGCTATGGAAGATCCATGAGGGTCATTTGGGAATTGAGAAGTGCAAAGAACAAGCACAAGATGTGTTGTATTGGCTGCGGATCAATCACATCACTACTAATGTGGTAGGAAACTGCTTTTCTACTTGAAATACAAGCATGACAACAAGCAGACCCTGAAACCTCATCCATTTACACACAGGCCTTATGAGTAGGTTGGCATTGATTTATTTAACTGGCAATCAAAGGATTATTTAGTAGTCACAAATTATTATTCTTGGTCTCCAG